TCAAATCTTTATCAAGGGTTCTGCAATTACAACTCGTTTTTATTACTTAGTTTATATCCACCAGAGTTCAAGTATAAAGTGTAAGAATCCTTGAGGCTATTTGCTTTTAAGACCAAAGAACTACTGGAAAATTCCAAGCATATCTGCCCTAACTAGACTAGAACACACAGGGAATATATTGTTTGGCCAAACACAGTGCGACTGTCTGTCAGAACACCTCACGTCTCTTCCCCTGCAAAGTCTCATCTTTCACATCTAATGCTGAGAAAATTCCCATTTTTTTTTTCTTTGAATGCTGTTGCTTGTTCACCACAGTTCATATAGCATCCCCAAAGTTACAGACAAAGTTTATATCACCAGGCTCTCTCTCACTTTTTGTTTTCTTTCTTTTGTTTTTCCTGCTGCTCGCAATAACTACAGAATAACAGAATAAAATACACATTGTCAGAAGGGAGTTTTCAGCAGGTTTGTATTTACCTTCTGCTTGAACTGGATTAGATATTCTTTCATGCAAGAAGGCTAAGGGTAAAATAAAAATTCTCACTTGTGTGCTTAAGAGAATATGTGCTAAATAAAACCATTTCTGTGAAATATTACCGTGCTTTTTTTACTGCTTTTTTTTTTTTTCTTACAGAAAAATTCAGATAAGTTTGGTTTTGCACAAATGCAGTAAGACTGTTACCACAGACAACAGCTCTGCTTTGCACATCTCAGATGCCATTAAACCACAAAATGCCAGTAAGATGCTCCAGACCAGTGTATGAGAGACTATTCAACAAAACAAGTAATTTAAGTTATGGAGAGACCATCTGGCAATTGGAGCACTATGCTGCACCTATGTTAACAAATTTTACTAATAAAATTTGCCTCTTACTATTATATCACCTTAAGGCAGATGGAATCTACTGAAATATCACAAACTGCTCCCAGCTGTGGGAGGACAGACAGAAAAATCAAGGCATGAACCAAGTTATCCTGCAATTTCTCAGCTAAAAAAACAACATGCAGATGGTTTTACGTGTGACAGAGAATCCAAGTGATATTGCAGACTATTTTGAATTCTTCAAAGCAAGGTCAAATGCTACATCTAAAAATTATCAATAGCAGATTTCCTCCAGTATGGATATTAACCTAGCTCTCCAGCTTGGTATTAATTCATACATCCCAAACTGCTCCTCTTGCATGTTGGCTTCATTCACCATCTCTTTCACTTACCCCAGTCTGCACTCCTTTTTGCTGGCTGGAGGCTCTGGAAATTTATTTTGCAAGTATGAAATCATAGCATAATTTATCTTTAAAAAAGCAATACTAATGCTGGTTGGTGCATAACTCCTGTCTTCAGAGGAACAATGTTAAAGAGACTGATAGCTGACGTGAAAGTCTGTCAGACTCAATTAAAATAGGAATTTAAAAAATGACATCAAAAGGAACAAATCACTGAAGAAAGTTAACTGGATAAGTTATCTGTGGAAATTGGTACTCCACAGCATCACATTTTCATGAGGGAACAAAAACTTCCAGTTTGTACACTACACTGTCATGCAGGGGCAGGCTGCCACATTCACTGGTGTTGGTTTGGATATGCAACTCGGGTGTACTGGACTTCTGCTTTCTGAATATTCCAGGTTCATTCTGTATGCATCATGCCAGCATTTTGATACATGTGTTGTAGCTCTGAAATAATATTCTGTTTCTGCTGTTTGGGAATCATGAACCACTCTGCCAAATCCTGTAGTTCTACATCAAGGAAATTTTTAAATGAAAAAGGAAGACATCAATTGAAATCCAGATGCACAGTTGCCTTGAAGGAGAGGCCACTGGGATGCATAAGCACAATGCCACACAGCTTTTTCAAAGAGTAATCTGACAGCAAAAAAGGTGATTTGTAGTGGGAACAACACATGAGTATGAACATGCTTTACTGAAGTAGTATGCCAGTAATAATTTGCTGGAAGAAACACTTCTGGTAAAATTTTGCAACGTAGATGTGCTGTACATGGTTTGTGAATTGTTTTCACCTTGATATTACAAAGATTATATCCCTGCCAAAAATACAACAGATGCTTCAGTGAAATGGAAAGAAGTTTCAAGCTGGTTGACTACAATGATATTTTGTTTTGGTTTTAAATTCTGGCAACAAACAGCATTATTACTTTTCTCCATATCATTTTTGTATTGATTCAAAATAGGCACTAGCAGTCTTTGGAACTGTAAGGCTTTTCCTCCTTTCATATTAATTTGGATATTATCTTCTGTTCAATAAACTTACTACTTCAATAATTTATATATAATTTCAATAATATATATATATATATAAGCATACAAAAAAAGAGCTCATTCACAGACTATTGCATGAAAATGAGATGCAATTCACAACCCAAATATTTAGCAGAGGTAAAAACTGCAAAAATTAACTTACAGCAATAATGTAGACAAGAACTATTAAAGATACAGGAATCACTGTATTCCAAATATGAATGGATATTCTTTTCACTTGTCTTAGACAATTAATGGCACTATATGAGTAAATGGAAATATATATCCCTCTCATGCTTTAAAAGAAAAAAGCAGTGTGATCTGTTAGAGAATTCCTCATATCACAGATTCCATGCTGAACAAGAGCTGACAGCGTACCCAGATGGTCAAGAGGGCCAACGGCATCCTGGCCAGCATTAGAAATTGTGTGGCCAGCAGGAGCAGGGAGGTGATCATCCCCCTGTGCTCAGCACTGGTGAGGCTGCACCTTGAGTACTGTGTTCAGTTTTAGGCCACTCACTACAAAAAAAATACACGGAGACCCTGGAACGTGTCCAGAGAAGCGCAATGAAACTGGTGAGAGGTCTGGAGCACAAGTCTTACGAGGAGCGGCTGAAGGAACTGGGATTGTTCAGTCTGGAGAAGAGGAGGCTCAGGGCAGACCTTACTGCACTCTACAACTTCCTGAAGTGAGGTTGTGATGAGGAGGGGTTTGGTCTCTTCTCCCAGGCAACAAACAGGACCTGAGAAAATGGCCTCAAGTTGTTCCAGAGAAGGTTTAGGTTAGACATAAGGAAGAACTTTTTCTCTCAGAGAGTGGTCAGACACTGGAATGGCTGCCCAGGGAGATGGTGGAGTCACCGTCCCTGGCAGTGTTAAAGAGGAGTCTGAATGAGGAGCTATGAGATATGATTTAGTGGCTTGTGGTAGCAATGGTGATGGGAGGACGATTGGACTACATGATCTTGCAGGTCGTTTCCAACCTTGCAATTCTATGATTCTATTATTTTCTTGGTTAAAATGTGGATTTCATTCACCAAGCAAACAAAAATTTAGTGTTTCCTATTCCATTTGCTTCAAGAAAAAAATCTGTCTGCCATATTTTTGGAAGCGCTTATTTAGAAAAGAAAAAAAACAAATGGAACTGCTACAGTGTATTACACACACAAAAGATATTTCCTCTACAAATTAAAATATTGTTCATTATTGCTATTTTATGTAAAGTCTATAAGTTAATTGCATTACAGTAGTTAGTTCTACTTTACGCAGCTCTATAATCAAAGTGCAGAATAATTAGGATCACTAATAATTTTCTCAAGAGTCACCTGTCAGCACCCATAACTCATTATAAAAACAATTATGTCACTTGTGGCATATCTTTCAATATTTTGGCATCTGCCAAAGTAAAAATCAATAAAAGGTTATTGCTATTCCAAGTCTGTTATCAGGTAAGCAGCTCCAGAGGCACTCCCTGTTAGGGAACTGCCATGAAAGCTTTCAGAACTGCGTAATCCTGGAACATGATTAGAGTATTCCAGTGAGCATATTCCATAACACCCAAGTATTTTCAGACTTATCATTAATACCTACAGTTAAATATGTAGTGGAGTTAAATAGTTACTGTGGAACACTGATGTAGAGTGCTGAATAACACTAAAAAAGCTTGTTGGAAGTTAGCACATATTTCTATGAGGATGTGTTTGACAACAATTGTGTCTCAACTGACTTCTGGTGTGTTCATTCCCTGCCATTCAGGCAAACATTCCTCCACTTTAATACTCAATATACGCATTACAAAACACTCTTCAGATTTCAACATCTGTAAATCCCACTTAAGATGTCACTACAACATGCTACTACTGCAATTAAAGTCTTGGTTCTTCACCACAATGAAACATTAGTAACTATTTTGCCAGAGCTGCTCATCTGCCTACATGTTATATTTCCATATTGCTGATCTTTGAGAGTTTATTTTTGTGTTGCCAAAAGAAACGTTTCAACAGCAGCTACATTTCCAAAAGAAGTAGTTTCAAATAAACAAAGAAATCTGTTGGTTAGGTCTAAATAGGCTTATAGGCAGTTTGAGTGCAAGTGAATGAATTCATGAGGAGACTTCATTTACAGACACGTATCTTTGCAGAAATCAGTGCCTGTTGAGTGGACACAGTGAAGAAAAAGCACTGTAGAGCAAGGAGTAGTTTTGTTTGTACGAATAAATAACAAAGAGGTCGTGCTATAATGGAGCAATGAGAGATAAGTTAAAATACATTAAGTTTGGGAATAACCTCTCTGTAGACCAATCTCCAGAACCAATCTTCAGGACTGCAAATCCCTTCCTCCCGTGTAAGAACACTGACATCATAAAATCACGTGTGTGCAGGTGAAGATGCCCAGAGCCTTCTTTACAGTCAAAATTGACAGTAACAAACTTGCTACTTCCCACCATCAACACTCAATGCCTCGTATTCATGCCAATGACAAGCTTAATGTGAACTATGACAAATAAAACCAAATCACATAAAATGAAGCAGACACAAAAGCTCTTTTGGTCATTCAGATTAACCAGTACTACAGTACAGAACATTCAGAAGGTGAATCTCAATGAAAAATCCTCCAACACTTTTTACTGCAAAACGAGTATTTACATGAAAACATCACTAGGTCATCTTCCAAAACTGTCTATATTCACAAACCATAATTTATCTCTGAGAAAGATGGAAATGAGATCACTCAATTTCCTTTACCTTTGCAACGTTCTCATGCAGTTTGAAGGAGGGATCCAGCTCTTCAGTTCTCGTCGCGTGCATTGGAAAAAGAGCTTCAGAGAGAAAGCTAGAATTCTGTGAGAAAGAAATCAGAAAACATTTAGCATTCAACATCCATTTCTTCATCCTAATGCTTATTGGATTTTGTTCAGAGTTTCACAACTCTTCCAACTGTTCTTAAGTTTCGGTAACTAATAGCATTTATTTTACTCATCCAATCAACTGATTCAAAGTCCCTGAAAGACGCAAATCCCCCCTAAATTTTATGACTATTTCTGCAACTGCAGTTGTCTTTGTAATCATGCTTCCTAAACCAACAAAGAATTTTGCCCAGAGGGAAAAAAAACAAACCATCTAACTTGAATGATGGCAGGATTTAGTCTTCAGAGGAAATATAAACACAGTAACCAAAGAACACACTTTTATCTTCTGTGAACATCCTACCTCTGTGTACAGTAATATCATCTACCTACCATGGTCAGTTCCCCACAATTATATCCCCTAGGTTAACCACTCTTTAATATTATTTCTACAAGATGCTTGCCTCTTCTCATATAGTAAGAAAGAAAGAAAGCAGGTTGCATATTTGCTGACATCAGGAAATGATAAATTGATATCCAGGTGTGGACTGGAAAAAGCAAAAACATACCAAATAAAAGTGTAGGTCTCAAATGTACACAGGTGCCTAAATTGAGATTTATAAATCTAATTGATCCATGTTTGTGAACTTGGCATAACAGTTTAGAAACAAAACTAGAAAGAAAAATATTTTTGTACACCCTCATAGCTCTTGCAAAACACATTCTAAAATTACGCTTACTTTTGCTAAGTGCTTGAGATACGGGGAACCTTTAGTCATGGCTATAGCAGCTAGGAAACCAGTGTCTATGTAATCTCTGCACTGGACCATATGCTCCATTTATTTGATAAGCATATTTTCAATGCACTTACCAACAGCAACGAGTCTAGTACAAAAACACAGAAACTACAGCCAAAGTTACTTCAGTAACAAGCAGAAGGATATATCAGTGCATGGCTATCATGTCATTCTAAAACTTTTAACTACAGGCAGTTCTAAGAAATATATACTCTTCAAAATGAACTCAGAGCTTTGACATAAAAGTACTCAGATACTTAAATACTTAGACACAAGAATACTTAGAATATTCTGTTTCATTTACATGTTTTCTGAAGAGGACTAAAAGGTCACCTCAAGAAAGCTCTGTGCCAAGTTGTGGTTAGCTCAAGACCACTCAATTCAATATCATAATGTTATGCATCTCCTATCAGAAGGCCTTTCGTGGTTTTGATTTGTCAGAACACAAATGTAGCATTATCCTGTTTAACTAGAATATTCCAAGGTCCTTTATTAGATTTTGCATTTAGTGTGCAACCTGTGCAATACAGAATATCATAATAGCTTAGCAGATGTATACAATTGGGAATGCAAAAAGACTGCAAGACTCTCATTAACGTACTTCTTTTATATGTCTTCACATCTGGGCTCTATGGAAATAATCTCTGTCAGACAGCCCTGACAGAATTTCCCAGGGAAGTATCAGCTTCCATATTCAGTTTCAGATTAAGTTAGCTCTGCCCTTGATCTCAGATTTGCAAGCATCTTTTAGTGATGCTTTTTTTTTCTGCGCAGGGACAATGATAAGAATACGAGAAAATACATTCATTAAGAAAGGTTACATAGCAAAACCATGTGACTTGTGAAAGGACTACATTTTTCAAGATTTGTAGAATAGAATAGAATATTGCTCAGGTTGGAAAAGACCTCAAAGATCATCAAATCCAACTGCAATCTAACCATATTACCCTAACTGGTTCTGAAGCTTGACCAAATCAAACAAGTGTTCTGCAAGTCTGCGAGTAATTTTTATGTTCTGTGAGTATATATATAAAATAGTAATAGAAGTAATAAGTTGACAGCATCCCTGGATTGGAAATACCTAAATCAATCATTATTACATCTCTGTAAAAATCATTTTGGAAAACATCTGTAGTCTTTTCAGATTGAATTCCAAATAAAATTCAGAGACGTTCTTGGTTCTGTATTCAAGATGAACAATTTTTCTGGCTTATTTTCCTCCAGATTGTTTGGCAGTATTGCCAAGGTTCTGAAAGCAAATCTTTTTCAAATACAGGCTTCTCGTATCTACAAGGCTGCCATTTCTTCAGTTTCCCTCCCTTGATATATACTGATCCTTCAAAAGCTTTTATCCTTACACTCCAAAAATACCTCACTGTCAATACAAACAAGTAGGGAACATATTGTAACATATGTTACTCATGTACCCGTGAGGGATACAAGGGTGGTATCTGATACACATCCACTTAAACAGAATTGTACTGTACACATGCAATATACCACGTGATAGTCTCCAAGAGCTAGTTTGGGGCACTACACTGGCACAGCACTGTTGGCCATCTGTCCAAACTAGCATGAGACATAAATACACTACGATCACATCAGCAATGCAGTATGTCAGTATGCTGCAGTCAAAGCTACTCAGCTTAGGCCTAGTTCCCTACACATGCTCGAATCCAACTCTAGCACTACTACTTACAGCCTTCTTAGACATTGGAATAGTCTCACAGACATGTTCAGGAAAGCTCAGAGACAGGTAGGTCTCAAAAGTACTAGTTACATTCTTGGTAATTTTTCTAGTTAATTTTTTTCTACAGGTTAACATCTATATGGTGAATCTTACATCAGTATTTCCATGCATTTGTAGAGAATTATTTCTGGTCATAAGCTTCCACCATTATGTTACAAAATTAATAAAAGTATATAATTAGCCCTCATTCATAAAAATTTTTGCATTCAGTTGTGCATCTAGGTGTTATATAACTGTCACAGAAATATCAGCATGATAAGGGAAGTCATCTCCCCTTCAGAAGGAAGATCTCAGAGAGACGATAAAGTCACTCATTATAAAGACAAAATACATACTTCAAGATTATTTCATTACATCTATTCATCTGTTTTAAGCTTGTGCACTAGTTTACAGAGCCATGTCATTCGACTGAAAGGAGGTTGAGGAAGATTCTCTTTCTGCTACAGTGGTGCTAATCCTGTTCATCATCATTTGCATAATGGTAATTAATACCTTACAAAAAGTTACATTATTTATATTCTTAGGTATCTTACTGACTGCTATATGAGATGCATATCTATCTGCATCTAGACAAATGTTCTTTCTTTGGAATCTAAAAGAGGAGGACCAGATGCACGTACTGCAGGGGAACATTTTATCTGCTTTTATTCCCCCGTACCCCAGACACACACCTGAAGAGTACAGGTTAGAATTTCTAGTAGTGCTATGTTTTTACCACATCCAGTAGTGAGAGACAAAAACACTGAAAGTATATATTCATACCCATCTTCTCAATTTAGGTGCCTTCACAAAGCATCTAATTTAGATGGGATGAACTCAAGCATCTGTATCTTTCAAAGACTGAATGATTTGATGCTCATAACCATGCCATAAGCAGGCCACTCCTTCCAGAAACCATGCACGAGACAAGAATTTTCCCTTCACTTGGGAGTTTTATCCGTTTACCAACATGTTCAGTGCTCTCCTTCCCTACTTGTGAATATCTTCTCTTTGTCTGCTGTTACCAAGAAAGGAATCCTCAGGATTCCAGTGCACCGTCAATTCAAGAAAAGCACAAGGGTGAAATTCACAGCAGCTCCTAAAGTTTATCAGTGTCTCTGATGGCTATTCTTGTTTAGCTATCACACACACTAATCACACTAATAATTTATTCATTATATTAAGTGCAATTATTCCTTTGATTTTTTACAAATAGGAGGGGATACTTAATAAAAAATGACTGATTATCTACATAGTGCCTTCACCAATAAGTAGAAAGACTAATAAAGTGACTTCCAAGTGACCAGCAGTTCTCTGTAATGAAAAGAACAGTACTTTACTCACATTTATCAATTTTTAAAATAAATACCTACATATGCTTGCCTGCACAGTCTCACTTTCCTACAACTTTTGTCGCAGCATTTAGGGCAAGCTTTAATTGGAGTGGCGTCATCCACGTAATTTAATAACTACCAAATTTTCAAACCTCACGTAAAAAACTACCCTACTTTTATTCTGCAGGACAAATAGTTTATGCAAACACACTCTTTTAAGAGTATTACTGCAAGCCTGTAAAATGGCAGCACAAATTGGAAGCACATGACGCCCATAACTACCAGAGACAAAGGAGAAACTGCCCATATTCCTCTTTGGTGACATGACATCATTGATTATCAACATCTACCATAAATCATCTATCAAAGCTTTTCCACCCTCAAGCAGAGTTACAGAAACAAGAAGCAACCATGCTGAAAACGATGCAGAACATCAGTTACTGTATGACTGATAGAAACAGATTCAAAACATTCGCTGTGCAAAGTCGCACAGCAATGAAAACAAAACAATTAACTTCTAGACATTTTAAAAATATTTCTTTATTAACTGCTTAGATACAACATATTTAACGGAAAGAGGAAAAATTATCAGAACTAGCTATGTTCTTCATCATTTAGAGGAAAGCCTGTTTTGATGTTCAACTGAATTTGGTTTCATTACTTAACATTCTTGGAAAGGAAAAGAGCTAAAGTCTTTTTCTGTTACCAGTATTTTACCTAAACTACCATTTTTCCAGACTATTATGTTTCCTGAGCACAGACAGACAGACATACATGACTTTGACTGTGACTTTGAGACCAATCAAGAGAACCACTGTCAACATCTAGATAAAATTTTGTTCCTTGAAGATGTAGCAAAGCTCATTTTGTGAATACACAGAATTTAAAGTACTATGTAAAGTTTCTCCCTTGCCACTAATGGGGACTCTCATTATTTATTCAGTTCACAGGCCTGTCTTCCACGCGTTATGAAATCTACTGGAACTTTTGAAAGTTTTACCATTTTTTGTTCGTGAAGCAGGAGGTCTTTCTCCTTTTGCACAATTTAAGTAGAAAGAAATACTAGGTCATAAGTATTTGCATTTTACAGGCAAGTGGCGTGATTGAACCCCAAGCAAACTGGAGCTCTGATGTG